GCTGCGGTGATGATCTGACTTTCGCCGGCTTTTGTGATGGTGGCGGCGACTGCTGTGGGGTGGGTGGGGGGACGGTGGTGCTGGTGAAGCGGTGTTGTCTGGTTTGTCTGTCGTGGGTTCTGGAGCCGCTGTAGCCGGTGGGGCTGATGCGATGGATGGTGATGGAGAGGGTTGTGATCCGGTGGCTGTGGTGGCAATGTTGGGAGCTGGAAATGTGGGATCCATTGGTGCCGGTTGTTGGTGTGGTGGCGGAACTTGTGGTGAGTCACTGATGGCTAGTTGGGGTTGTGATGGCGGTGGAGGCAAAGGTTGTGTAACTGGGGGAAAGGCTGAATAAGGTTGCCAGACCCCTTGGGGCATGTGCCACTGGGGTTCTGTTGGAGGGTGAGCTGGAGGTGCTTGCTGAGGTGCGGGAAGCGACTGGATCGGTGTGGTGTTGGTGGGATCGGTAGGTGGTGTGTGGTGCAATTGCTGAACAAGGTAGGAGGGGGGGAGGTGCCGGTGATGGAAAGGTGGGTGGTGGCTGTGTGGGTTGTGGTTGAGGTTGAGGAGGACGCACAAGCGTCCAGGCGGAGGGATTGCCATAGGGCATTGTGGTTGGAGTTGGAATTGTCATAGGTGGTGGAGCTGGAAATGCTTGATGCTGTGGTACAGGGTATGTCGAGGGTTGTGGGTAAGGAAAGGCTGGTGCAGTGTGTGGCTGTGGCAGCGGTACTGTCGGTTGTGTTGGTGCAATGGGTAGTGGCGGTGGTGTGGCATGTGAGTATGGCCAAGGATACTGCATGAAGTTTGCGATGAAAGTTGGTGAAAAGTCGTCACAGCTGTGCAGCAAAGTCGTCTCAATGGCGGCAGCGACAGCGCGGCGCGGCAGCGGAGACTGTAAATGGTGTAGTCTGTCACGGTGGAGATCGCACTGCTCTTGTTGAGGATAAGTGTGCATTGTTGTAGAGCTGTGAAAGTTGGCTTGATGTGGAATGCAGTATGTAATGTATTGGTGTGTTCATGCATATCGAATTAAATCTGGAAGCTCAGGTCTGCTAGCTTGAGTTCTTCATGCGGAAAAGTCACGCCAAGAATGCAAAACTGTAGAACGCTACAGAGTCTGTTGGAAAATCAGTTCCCGTGGTGAGGCTCGGCAGCCTTTGTGGCAGTTAATTCAGTGGTTGTGTCAGAGACTTCCGGTGGAATTCCTGTGAAAAGTGGTGAGGTCAGTTAGTGCTTGCGCGATGAGACAGCGCCCCAATGACGGGGATCACACTCAGCACCCGAGTGGGACGGCTGAGCGAAACACACTTCGACAATTGTATTCAGTTATCTCGATTCCCACGATGGGAAAGATGGCGAAGAACCGCAAGGTGAAAGAGTCAGCTGAAACAGTATGGTTGAACATGGTTTCCAAAGGTGCAAGTCTGCGGTCGGCGGCTGGCTGCAACTCACGATCGGCTGAGAAATGCGGTGGAAAAACCTGTTTGTGGGAGGGTATCGTGAAGAAAGACCATGGAACCAACGAACAGCGGCAGGGCGGACCATTGGAGTCAGTGTGTTGAAAGCAAGTACGCCAGACTGATCAGGTCTGGTATCACGACGACATGGATGGGTCTTCGTTGGCTCGTGCCATCCATGCGTCCACGAGCCCCCTGCGAAAAAGAGTTGGTTGCAAAATTGTGAAAGAGGTGGCGGTGGAGAACCCTTTGCCCAGGGGTGGACACACACACAGACACATTCTTGAGACAAAGGCACGTTCGTTCTATCAGCTACCTCAGCAGGGTCCAAGCATGTGAAATTTCAATTTCAAGGCAGACTCAAACCATTCTAACAACTGTTCTAGTTGCAATAACGGGGCACAGTGGAAAATTGCAGGTCATCATTTGAACAGGTGCACCGAGCTGATCAGGCTCGGTAGCTTCGTTCAGTGCAGTCCCACAACCTTGCTGCGCCCTCCTGCTAAACTCAATGTACTCAAAAAAACAACAGCAAAATTAGATAGCAAACGAAAACGCCAACAAGAAATGACTAGTGTTTCCAAGGTGCCCACACACGCACACACTCAATCACACACACAGACACGCACATGCACACAGACACACAAACACACACACACACAGACGCACTCAAAAACCAGAGACTAACTTGCGCCCAGATGATGTTGTTCGTTTTGTCGATCAGTGATTAGACAGGAAGAACATTGGTTGGCACATGTATCAATATGTTGTGATCCTTTTGTCCAGAACCGCCAGGCTTTATCTCTATGATGACATCATGGAAAGAAACAAACGGTGCCTTTTAGCGTACCTAAATGCCGGCCTCCAAGATGTCAGAGGGGCTTCAAAGGCACAACTCAGCTGGTGTTCTTTGGAGAAAAGACAGAAAAAGGTTTGTGTGACTCAAAACATCTCCAACATATCTCAAAGGACAACGGTTGTGATGAACCTGAGTCAAGAAACTAGAAGTACTGTTCCAATCGCACTGGAACTTATGTTTGCGTTTGGGCCGCTTGGGTCCCAGGCACGGCTTGATGTGATCGAGCAGCTGCGTTGGGAGGTTGGTGGCAACCTCAAGTGTTTGTTGGAGGTGTGAGGTTGTTCTAGGTCGTTCTTGTTTTTCCAGACACTTCAGTCAGTTAGTGCTTTCGTTACTTACAGAGATCTAGCATCCAGGTTAGACATGCCAAAGGATCTAGAGTCTAGACCTTTCAGCGATACAATAGAAATGTTGCTTTCCACCTTCACGTAGCCACAGGGGCAGGTAGAAAAGACAGTCTGGATTTCGCTTGGCAGACGACAAGAGAATCAAAGGTAAGAACCACACGAGGGTGGGTATTGTCCATATCGCTGAAATCGCCTGGTCCTTTCAAGGCCGAATGGTGCCTGAAGAGAAGCTGCAAAAGCTCCACGAAGCAGAAAAACAGTGCCTGGCCTCTGATTGAGCAGCTGGTTGGAACAATTTGATTTGCTGAATTCTTAGAAGCCCTGTGATTGTTTTCACATGGTGGAAGCAGTGTTCTTTTCCAAAGCCATGGGATATTTTTGAGACAGTCTTAGGATCATGACAGGTGAGGGGTCGCTTTCGAACACGCATTTTAGGGTCGCCTCCAAACGCGGTGTTCCCTGTCGATTGGAGATCAGATGGCACGTTGGAAGCTGAAACAATTTGTTCATGTTGGCACTTTTTGTATCTTAGGCCCTAGGCCTTAGGCCATCTGTTGCCACCCTTACCCCACCCACCCATTAGATTGTCCGGTGGGCACCCATTCGATTGCCTGGTGATTGTGTCCCTGTTCCTACTCTTCACAGTCTGATCCCTCCCACCCCCCACCCCACCCATCCGATTGGCTGGTGGTCGAAGGAGAATTGGAATGTGTTCTAAAGTGACCCTTGACTGTGTTCCAAAGTGACCCTTAAACATGTGTTCTAAAGGGAACATCACGGTAGACAATGACGCAAGATTTATCCAAAGCCTCATGAAGTGTGGTGTCAAAGGGATGTCTTCAGCCTGGAGTCGCTTCTTGGCGTCAGGTATTTGACCAACTACAATAACAGCCTGGACTGATTGCTGGGTTGGTTGTTGCAAGATGTGCGCAATGAAGGCGTAAAGCATTAGCATCTATCCAGAAGTGAGAAACCACTGGGTTTCAAGTTAGCAATTCTTTGACTCACACTGCAGGACAAGTACATGAAGCGCTATGTACCAAATTGCAAGCACCCTCTGGATCTGACTGCCAACTCAGAGGCGGGACAGCTTTAACTCTCCTTTAACTCTGTTTTGGATGTCGAAATGTGCAGATGCATCTCACATGGATTTTCAAAGTATAGTAAGGGAGCGCAGATTTGTCCGCCTTATGGCATGTAAGTTGCACGCTCCCATGTCCGCATGCACCATGCGGTTCTTGGCGGCAACACAAGGCTCCCGAGGACACCAACATCCAGGTGCGAATGTTGCGAGATGACCCGCAACTGGATGGCATTGTCAGCAATGACAGTGGGCTGCTGCGTTTGCGCCGGGGAACCCAACCGAGAATTCTGCAGAACCTCTTTCTGCTTGTGGCCGGCGCTGGGAGAGGTTGACCATTGCAGTGGTTGTACAGTATGAGAAAATGCTTCAACCAAGTATTGAAAACCATTGGTGTGATTCATGCCTCAATGCCTAAGCGCACTTGTTCCAAGCCTGGGGTGGGCAGGCGGTGGCTGTCAGATGATGGTGAAGCGCAGCGATGTAGAACATCTCTTGCGTAGCGGCAAGGCAAGGTGGTGGCTGGCTGGAGAAATTCCAAACAAAAATGGTTAAATTGGCAACCGTCAAAGGATCTCAAAGGTAACACATCAATAGGGTCAGTCTTCATTCTGACTGCCAGGTGCAGCAGGTTGTGGCCTCAGCAAATGGCTGTGGCGACATTCGTGCACCCTCAAGGACTTGCATTCGTAAAAGTGGATGCACGGCTGAGGTGAAGACCTGTCGGGGGGACGTGGTCGGTGGCGGCTTCTGAGCGGGGGTTGACTGGTGACTTGTGGGACTTGTGTGACTTGTGGCTTGGGCAGATCTGCCGGCTCTGCTGCTCGGCCGCTTGACATGAGGTGCTTAATTTTCTGAAACAAGGAGAGACTCTTATATAGTGGCTCTTAGAAAACAGAGGCTTCACAGCTGGCCCAAGACTCCAAGTCAAAACCAGTCTCGGGAATCACAGCCTGAGGTGGGGAAGTCTCAGTGATGCGACAGCGGGGAACAAACAAGTGCATGAACATGCATGAACTGTTTTGGCGATGTGTCAGCTGAGTCTCAAGTAGAAGGTATCAGCTTGGCTCAAATCAACCCAGAAGAATTCCAGTACCGCCCGCTCAATGCTCTCACTGGCTCAACTACATAGAAACTCCCCAACTACAGCTTGCTGCATTTGCCCTCAGAACTCACAATCGCAGCCAGCCCTGCCCGCGCCCTTCCCGCCGCAGCCCTTCTCAACTTCTCTCCCTTTATTGGGATCACCTAACAGCCTGGACTTTTGACAGGCCACAGTGGAGCAGGCGTCTTGCGAGAGGGCAAAAGCCTCTCAGAGGCTGAGGCATGAACCCAGAACAATGAGATTGCTATTCAGTCACGACAATGCTCGTCAGTGTAAGATTTATGGGTGTTCCAAGCGCACCTTTGAATCAGGGTTAACATTTTTCAGTCTCAACACAAAACATCGTTAGACACAGAAGGCTTTAGTTCTGGCTCCTTTGGCAATCATTTGATCGGTTTTGCCTAAATGCTTGGGTCATCCTTTGGACAATGCAGTGAAACATGGTGATAAAACAATTTTTGGTGCTGGTACCCAAGCTCAGGGTGCTTGCTTGTTATACAAATATATATATATATGTATATATTATACACCTATGATATATACGAACTCTATTCAGCCTCAGGTCGAAAATGCATAGCTTGCTGCAAGTGGCTTTGTGCGGTGGAACCGGGTGTTTCGGATGGCCTTCGAATGTTGTTCAATCATGTAAGGACCGGAGAGGGGACTCATAAAGCAGGCCCCCATCATTTGGTTCTAACTCAATGCCCGGCTTTGGCTGAAAGATCAGACTGGAAATGTTCAAACTTGAAAGTTGTTTCGCTACTTTCACATAACACTGCAGACCGCGCACCTGGTTCCATGCGCAGGGCGGCCTTGTTGCGGAGGGGCGTGGTCTCTCCGCGGTGGCTGGGCATCCCAGGAAGCCAGGAAGTCGGTGACCGTGGCAGTGAATGGTACCCCCTTGCAATGCTCACTCAACGTTTGTTTTTCAAAGGAAATTACAGTGTTTTAGTGATATGTTGGGATCTTTTCCCAAACAGGTTGTTTTGACGACTTTCCACGTTGCGGGTACCACACATATATATATATATAATGGGAATGGGAAGAAAGAATAAATAAGTCTCCAGTATGTAGAGTGGATTGAGAGGCTGGAGAAAAGTACGCCGTAGTACTGTACGTGTACTTTCTAGATTGAAGGTTGAAGATTCTGCCAGGACTTTCGGTGAATCTTCAATCTTCAATCTTCGATCCAGAAAGTACGCGTACTATGGCGTACTTTTCTCTTTCCAGTGCTTTCCAAGTCAGTTCAATTGCCAGAGTCTCGCATCTGGACTTTCTTTCCGTATCAGCTTGCCATTCTAAGTATCGAGAGTACGTTGTTGACTGTAGTCTCATGGCATCTGCGCTGCCCTCTATGAATGTCAAGGGACAGGTGCACTTCGATGGGCGTGCCATGGTTCTAGAACCGGAGGTCACAGTGACCATGACACAATGCAACAACGAGCGAAATCCTTGCCAAGGCTCCGTGTCCTGTTGTGTGTGTGTGTGCCCCTGCACTTCGACCGAAAACAAGCTGTGACATGATAACAGATAACAAAACGGTCAATATAATAGAAGCAGTTGCTGTCAATGACTTTGTTGTCTGGCATTGTGACAGTTGCAGCCATTTGTTGTAAATATCATTGTCAGGCAGAGGTCTACCCTACTGTTTGCTTGATGGCACCCAAGCTCAACCCTGGTGCGAAGATGCTGCTGAAAAGGATGTCTGCTGTGTTCCACTGCCACAAGGTATCAACTTGTAGATCAGCTAGCGTCATTGGAAAATAGCAAGCCCTGCTTTTCACTCGTCAATGCAACTCAACCATTCCACAAAAGCATCTGCAATCCATCATTCAACATCAGCCACCCGTCAGTCACGGTCGGTCTGTCATTCTCAACGCAACAGGTGGTATTGGTGAGGGTAGCATATATATATATACATACACGGAAAACTAGTGGAGAAAAGAAAAGCACTTCTTGTGGGGGGCAGCAAGTGGTAGTAAAGCTTAAGACCTAAGCAACCTCAGCTTGCTTTGCTTAGCAAAGATGTGTTGGGACGGGATCCATGGACTTTGGCATGTTTTCGGTGGTTCAAGCAGAAGTTTTAAATTGCACAGCTGTTCTTCTATCGTTTTGCATGAACGGACTCTTTCCTGCACACACCTCCCGCTTCTTACCAATCTTCGTCCACCTGAGAATGCTGTGCGCAGCGCCAGGGATTCAAAGTACCCCGCCAGTGAGGCCGGGGAAACGGGGGAAATTTTCTTTGTCATAATATATATGTGCTCTGGACGCCAGACGCGTTCCAGTTTCTTTGCGCAACTCCGAATGCTGAAAACAATGCTGGTCTTGTTTTGTTGAGAGGGAGGCAGAGACTTCCTTCCCACCCAAAAGAATCATTATTCTTGCTATTGTTCTGTATCAGACATGATGTCTTGTATTTTTCAACACAAGCAGAAACATTTCGGCAACGCAACTTCCAACAAAGCTGAACTGCATGATGGATTTTAATTTTTGGCAAAAGATCCCACTGGCCAATTCTCGACATGGCAGGAGATCCTTCAGAGGCGCGGCAGCTAGACTACTGCAATGCGCACAGCAGAGTAAAAGAAAAAGGTGGACATGACAGAAAGGACCCCCATCAAAATCTCCTCAGTGCTGATAAGCTAAGCTGAAGGCGTAGTCCCCAGCCTAGCTGCAGGGAGCCTCAGCATTTAGAACTCATGTTTTCATTCTTTTCAAACTTAGACATATGAGCAACGCTCGACCCAGCGATGATCTATTATAGTAAAGAACTTCACACGATACTGAAGTGCTAAGCTATACTCCAACCATGTCATCACAATTTTCGACACGCTCAGCTGCATCAAAAAATGCTAGTGGGGGCCGAAAGCGCAACAGGTCTCCCTCCAATGTGATTACCTATATAGTTGTTAATGTCCTCCTTGTTATGGCAGACACTCATAGACTCATATCATTTCACCAGTTCTTGCTTGCGCTCTCAACTACTGCATACAGCAAGTGAACTAAATGGGTATGGGTATCGAAGAAAACCGTCGACCATGACAGCACGTCCAGCTTCACGCTTGAGGTTACACTCCGCTCTCGGCCCGCACGCCGACACCGGGCCTGAGCCACCAGAGTGTTCCAAGATTGAACCCTGCAAGCAAACAAGCATGATTGGTATGGATGCGTCTTCCAGTCAATAAAGAAAAAGACAGCATGCCTGGTCATTTGCATCCTGTAATGCTATAATGCTAGATCTTGAAAGTCCTGTCACATGATTGTTTCCATCCAGCCTCATGTCCCTTGGACAGATTTTGCAGTTTGTCGGTTCTAGGCCGAGGATCGCCAGCACCCAGCATGGCTTCCAGGCAATCAATGTAAAATCGATCTGATCGGGGGTTTGTCCTTTGTTGCACCCTACTTTTGTGCAAATCTGCGAATACCTGCTTAAATAAATGGTTTGGCACGGTATACCGGGTGGTGCTCTGGTTCAGAGGCATAGACCTTTGGTTTGCATCGGGTTGTGGTGGACTTGCTTTTTCATATTATACAGTGAGTGCACAACATGACACAAATGCATGTAGATTGATCTGGGACATCAGCAGAAACTCTGAGCCGTTTGATGCTGTTTCGCTCAGCTTGTATTGTCATTGAGGCCGGCCTCCAGATGCGCCTGTGTGAGTCACTGATATATTGATGGAAGAGTGACACAGAAGATGCCTTTCAGAAAGGACTTGCTTGCCGGAGATGGACTTGCTTGAAACCAAGACACTGAGGTGCCTGCAATCTTCCCATTTCCAGAGCCCATCCCGCATGAAGTGCCCCGGAGGTCCGAACGCAAGCCGCAGATGTTTCTGACGACTTGGGCTTTGAACGAAGAAACATCGAACGTTTTGAATATTGTCAAGTTGTCAACTTGTCCTGCTGTTTTCCACGTGGAGTTTCTGACAATTTCATGGGTTGTTTGAGGCGCCGTGCAGGAACACCTCCCGCTTGGGCCGAAGAGCACTTTGATCTCAGATCTGGAGCATCAAACCATATATAATATAATAAAACATAATGAAACCATTCTTTTCAGCGGAGACCAGAGGACCAGTCGGTTTCATCAACAGCAAACAAAAGCAACTTAAAGAGGGCCTCATAAGATTTGGCAGACGATGGATTTGAAGACTGGAGCTGCAAAATGTCATGACAGCGACTGCGCTCTTCCCCCAATTCGGGTGTAAGCCACTCAGGCTGAGAGGCCACGGGCGACTGGGAGGAATTGAGTTTGAACTGCTGTAGTGCAGAAATCTTTAGAAGGTTTTAGAAGCCTTATGACTAGCGGCACTTGAGACCTTTGGGTGAGCACAGCAGCTGTCCGGCTGGTGTCTTGTCTCCACTTCTCCTTTGCGACATGGTTACACAGTCGGACTTCATCAGGGAAGATACAGGGAAAGTGCATCGGCATTGAAATTCAGCAGGCATACGCAGTTTGTTGACTTCGCCTGCCTGTTGTCTTCCGCCGTTTTGGAGTCTTATGCGTTGTTTCCAGTGCGTTCATCCAGGAAGAATGGCTCTGGCCATAGTGATGATCCAGGCAGGGTGACTTGAAGTTCTTTGCAACCTTGTCAGAGCAAAACACCTTCTCCACAACCCTGTCAGAGAAACATGGTTCTTTTGGTTTGGCGTGACTCTTGCTTTTCCCCAGCGGAGGTGTGTATATAGATGGTGCAGTTTTGAGTTTTGAATGCTGGCTGCCTTGAAGAGCCCTCTATGAATTGGTTGGTGCACATAGGACAGTTTGAGCATCTTCGAAGTGGTGTTTGAGCAGTGGAAAGCTCTCTCAGATTCATTGGACGATTCTGAAAGAGTCGTCCTTGATTGCAAGCTGCCGCAGCCATGAGCTTCTTTTATACAATATACAATGAAGGGCAATAGCAAGCAACTCCTCCTGCTGCTGGCATGTTTCCACCCAGCGGCGGGAAATTGTTCGGGCTCAAGCATCCATTGCTCTGGCTACTTGGATGTCAAAGACACTTGTATTGTAGTGAAGACATCCTTGTTCTCTCCAACAGCTTGAAAGCATTGTTACCATCTGGGCACATTTTGGCAGTGTTCGTTCCGCTCTCCAAGGCGAAAGTACAAAGAGCGACTGTGAGTTTTGGACTGGCTGTACGTGGTCCTCCGGAAGTTCGGGCGGTTCGGGCAGTTCCGGTGGTTCCAGCGGAAGTTGCACTGGAGGAATGATATGTCAAGGCATTTTTGGAGATCAGTGCTTCAACCAAGGTTGTCAATGTCACCGGACTTTGGGACGAAACAGAAAGGGTGCGATTTGAAGCCGGTACCGCCTGGAAAGAAGTCTTACACAGAATCAGTGCCATCAGTTCACATTTACACACATATATATATATTTATGTACATCTTCTTCTCCACCCAACTCGTAGCACTAGCTAGACGCAAAGCGTGCTGCGTTGTGTGCTCTGCTGTCGCAAGGCCAGATCCACTACTGCAGCAGTGGTCCAACCTAGCGCCTCACGATGTTTTGCAGAATCTCCCTGCGGCCAAGTACCAACAGCCAACATATTGACTACGATAGTGACAAACAGCAATTGACCAGCCACAATGACACTGGCAATGAACTATTGCGAGAACAACAGCAGCCCGCACTGTCAACAAGCACCTTCTTTGTTTGTCCATCATGGGGTATAAATATATAAAAGACTTGAGCCCTGCAGCTGACCTTGGACCCCCCAAAGCAACCACTTGCAAGTACTAGTAATGTTGCTAGCAGTGTTCGTAGTGGTGGTGGTGGTGGTGCAGGTCGTGGTAGTAGGAGTAGCAGTCGCAGTTGCAGTAGCAGTAGAAAACAAAAATGATGATAACAGTAATGGTGGTAGTAGTAGTAGTTGTT